TATGACATTGATTATGACTTCAGACATTATAATTACATTAATAATCAGCAGACTTACTTCATTAGAATTACAGCTGCTATCACTTTGAATTCGCCCCGCGGGTCTTTTAGTAGGTGGCTTCATTGTGGGAGACAGAGTGGGATCAGTGCCACTACTTGGGCTGCTGTCCAATCTTGATCTCTTCTCTCCTCTTTGCGTCTCTTCAGTGAGCTCCTCTAGGTCAGTCTGCTCTGACTCCTGCTCTTTCTGCTGCTGTAACATCCACCTTGGAACCTATGAATTATTAGAGAGAGAGAGTGTGTGTGTGTGTGTGTGTGCAGAATGAAGGGGGAGAAGAGATAAGAGAAAGATAGGAAAGAAACACAAACCGTATTAGTCCTTTCATACTGTGAATCATTATTTGCATCATTTACACTAAACAGGTCTTGCGTGCCTAAAAATAAAATTAAAGAATGTCATACTAATAAATTTAATTATAGCATACCTTCTTCAGCAATAGTAGCAACAGAATCTATTATCTCTGCATCAGTCATAGGCTCTCTATTGTCAGTATTATGATCAAATTTAGTAACAATCCTACCCTTGAACTTAAACAATCCGTGACTTCTATCCAAAGTACAATCAGCATCTTGACTTCCTTTTGAACATTTTAAATGAGCTCAGCAATATTTATAAGCATTACCTTCATCAGTTTCTTGTACAGTTGTACTGCTGGTTGATTCTAGACTGCAGCTAAGACCTAAAATACATTATTTATCTAATGAATGAATCAGTGTGGGATAATGCTTACCTGACTGGGCTGAAGCAATGTAATCAGAAGAGCCTAATGAACCACAATAAGTAAAATTCATTGTTACAAAAAACCACAATACCCTTGTTGTACCAACATATTAATATCAATTACAGGCTAGTGTACATTCTTGTGATGCGGCTGTGCGTAATAACAAGAGTAGATAAGGTAATAAGTACCTGAAGTCTTGCTGTCTTGCGATGACGGCTATACAAAAATAAGTAATAGATACAAATCTTTCAAACAAATAAGCGTACCGGAGTGGCCTTCAGCTTCGTCTTAGAAGAAATCTTTTCTACATACTCCTGAGTCTGCTCTAGATCTCTATGAGGTAGAGAAGAGAAAAGTATGATTAAAAGAGGATCAAAAAGTCATTACATTTAAAGGGTACCTTCTCTGCTTCTCCAAAACATGTTTCTTAACTGTTGGAACTCTCTGATATTTAGTACTCTCATATTTGGTTCCAGGAAGAAGTTGATCAGGTTCAGAATCTGTTGTACTAGGACAGTCTAATGCAGCTTCCCTTATATGGGAAAATAATAATAATTGTATGTATCTATTGTTGCCATACACCTATCATCTACACACATGCATGTACTACATATAGTTCAGGAGAAATTAAGGAAAAATTAAGGAAATAAATCAACCAATTGTCAGAAATATGGCAAATATGAAATGCTTTCAATTTCAATCAGTTACATGCATGCAGTAATAACAAGATACCTTAGAGTGTGAGAGTGTGTAACAGAGAGAGGGTGTGAAACATCAGAGACTGCTTGATCATCACTCCCGGTAGCAGACCTCCTCCTCCTCCTCCTCCTTGTCGATGAGGACCATTCCTCTTCCGATAATTGATCCGACGACGGACTACTGGTGCTTTCTCCTGGTACTACCATCGTCTGACGTACGGTACGCAATCGAAGAGTGTTCTCTTCAGCTGCTTCTGTCTCCTCCCTATCTCTTGCCTCTTGTCGCTGCCGACTCTCTTCCATAAACGAAGCAATATCGAAAATAGGACCATGTCCTCTTGATGCTGAATTAGAAGACGAAGGAAGAGAAGGTAAAAGTGCATTGTTACTAGTGGAGGCTGATGAAAGAGGAGGATTATTGTTAAAAGAGGAGGAAGGAGTATCAGTGGTTGGAGTTAATTCAAACATATTGTCCATTTGATCCATTGACTGGCTTAGTCGGAATAATAACAAAGTGCGAGGAGCTCCTTCAATCTGAAAAGAAAGGTATACATTGGCAAGCAGGATGCGTTAAAAACCACCCCTGAATCAATGCACAAAAAAAATTAAGAAATATAACACAAGTAGGAAGCAGTTTACTAATGTAGCAGAACTTCCTGCCAGATGATTAACACGTCATTAACACGATCACAAACAATTAATCAATGCACCAATGGCAAACATATCAGACATGCTTTTATGTACCAAAGTGGCTCCTGTTTGATGAGGAGACCTTTAATAAACTCACATTTCCATCAGCCTCCCTCTCCCCCGTGTCGTTTCTTTGTGGCAGTTCAGGTTGTTCCTCCTCCTCTTCATCCTCTTGTCTTAGCCTTCTCAGGGTAAACCTGAGTCTGTCTCTCTCGTCACGGTCTTCACCAGCCATGATGGGTATCCTATGAACAAAACACACAAGTATCCCGGTTAATGTGCCGCTAAAACCCTAGCAGTCACGTGAATGCCACGTTGCATGCGCATCGGCATATGGCACAAGACCACATGATTAAACTTTTAACTTACACTAAAGGTGACTGGTTTCTGGCAAGAAAAGATATTTCTGTTGCTTAAAAGTTAAAACCTTCCTACACACCATAAAAGGTATGAAGAATTTCAGCCTTCAAGCACATGTCACAGCGTGATTTTAATATACGGAGAATTACGGATGTAGCAATACCAGAACTATTGTAGTACCATATAGATGTACCAAGAGAGGGTTACAAAGAAGAGCTTATGCTAACTGATATACATAATGCATTTTCTAGTTAACTTCAGACAATACTTTGATGACTTGGAATAACAGCGAAAAGAAATTGAAACAGAATGCACTTTGTTTACATACAATTCATACGGAACAAGGAGGAAATATTGATACTGCTAGCGCAATGAATGCACCATATTTTGACTGATGATTATCCATTACCATGCCTCGCTCATACTTGCAGTATTGCCCCAACAGTTACTTTGATGGCATATGGCTTCTGCTTGCATACAATGTACAATAAATCATTAATTGCTTTAATATTTAAGTCGTCTGAAACAGCTCAAAGTAATCATTTACTCTCCCAGGAGCTGAAGACCATGTTTGCACTATTGCCAGCACTAGCATTTCTGCTTCTATTTGACTCATCACGAGCCAACTCAAAATCACAAGCTCTCACTCGCTCACAGCTACTCTCATTTGGACCAGGAACAAATGATAATACTTTACAAAGAGGAGATGACATGACAGCTAGCATAAGGCTATCACTGCCATTCACTTTTTACAATACAACTTACACAGAGCTATTTGTAAGTATTTTATATGCATATGGTTGTATTACTTTGCATCTTGGATTAGGTTTCCACTAATGGAGCAATATCTTTGGGAGATGACTCGTCATCTTTAGTTAACGTGCAGTTTCCTCAAGATATGATGGACCAGCCTCTCATAGCACCTTACCTTGCTGATGTGGATACTACTGGCATTGGTAATGTTTACTATAGGCACAGCAATGCTGCTGCTGATCTTGAATATGCCAACGAGTTCATACGTAATACCGGTACATTTGCTTCTTCTTCTGCATCGCAAATTGTTGTTGTGACATGGGACTCTGTGGGTTATTATAGAAGCAAAACTAACAAGGTATAGCATGGAATATCAGTAGTAATTGTTAACCAGAACCTATTAATAGGTAAACACTTTTCAGTGTATCTTGGGTTGGAATGCTCAAGAATCTTTCGCCATCTTTCTCTATGTCAACCCATTGCTATGGACTACTGGTGATGCAAATGGTGGAAGAAATGGAGTGGGAGGAATGCAAGCTCAGGTTGGGTTTATTGCAGGAGATGGCTCACGCTTCTTCACTTTACCTGGCTCTGGCTCTAATTTTGTTCTAGCACTTGATTCTGACACTAACATTATGCAGCCAGGCCGGTATGTGTTTCAAATCAACAGTGACATTACTGAGCCCACAGGTAAATAATTATAAATCAAAACTTGAAATATGAGACTAATTGGCCTCATTCGCACGAAACATACAAGTGCTGCCTACTTACGTAACAACAAGAATTCAATGTTGCAAAATATTGTAATTATAATTACATTTTAGTTGTTGACTGTGGCAGACTTCAAGCTCCCATGGATGGTAGTATTGCATTCCAGTTTGACTTGACAACTTTTAATTCAGTTGCCACTTACAGTTGCAACTTTGGGTTTACGCTAATAGGCAGTGCTAACAGAACTTGCCAGTTGAATGGAAGCTGGTCACCTGATGCACCAACCTGCAATGGTAAGTGGATATTGCTATAAATTGCTAATTTTTAATGCACACATATAGTTACTGATTGCGGTACACTTGATTTTGATAGAAGTACTACTGATGTGGTAAAGAATGGGACTGGCTTATATGCTGTAGCAAGGTACAGTTGCATAATAGGCTACGTACTCCAAGGAAATTCTATTCGAACATGTCAGACGAACAGTATGTGGTCTGGAACAGACCCTACCTGTGAACGTAAGCCTTTAAAATAAATTTTCTTTATCTTTTCATAATAAATTATTATTACAGCAATTGTGTGTGATAAAGCACTGCTTTTTCCTGCTAATACGACTGCTCTTACAATTAATGCCAATCGATTCACATTTCGCTCAATTGCAACATATACCTGCCTACCTGGGTATGTCGTACGAAGTGCTATCACACGCACCTGCCAATCCGATGGAACATGGAGCTCTACTCCTTCTTATTGTGAATGTTAGTCACCATACTGACTTTTATTGTAATGTTCTTAATGATTCATTTTACAGTTATCAATTGTAACAATCCGCCAACAAATAATGAAGTTGGACTCAGTGTGCAATTTACCAGCACTTTCCTCAATGCTCAAGCTACTTATTCTTGTGCAAGTGGTTACACTTTTAATGGAACTGCTCTAAGAACATGTGGTACCAATGGACAGTGGAGTGGGAGCACACCCCAATGCATACGTATGTTGCAAAAATAAATAAATTATTTCATTGTTATCTCATTTTGTAGCTGTTGACTGTGGCATGCCTCCAGGTATTACTGGAAGAGACAATCTAATGGCAAACTTTGACCCCTCAAACACAACATTCGGAAATGTAGTAGTCTATTCATGTGATATTGGCTTCAGATTAGTTGGCTCTAGCAGTTTGACTTGTCTTGCCAGTGGCAGTTGGTCTGGAGTTGCACCAACATGTCAAGGTATGTTTATTTACACTTCCTTCATACTATAAAGGAAATTGAAAATAGATTTTGTGGCAATTCCATAGAATTCTTTTATAATTGAATGTTGTTTTGTGACTTCTGTAGTGAATGACTGTGGACCATTAAATCCTAATCGACCATTGATGGTCAGCTATAATACAACAATTGTAAACAGCACTGCAAATTACAGTTGTGAAACTGGATATGAGATTAATGGAAATCCAACAAGTTCCTGTCAGCCAAATGGCCAATGGAGTGGCCCTGAGCCATCATGCATAGGTGAATATGCCTAATCATTACTTATGTATTGCTTTAACTTTTAGTTATATTTGGGTGTGAGATTTTAGATCAGATTTGATAATAATTTGTTTTTAGGAGTTGATTGCGGTGATCCTCCTCAGGTTGCTGGAACTGGCCCTACAAGACCAATAAGTAGCAGTACCAGCAACAGGTTTCCTTCTGTGGTTCAATACTCCTGCATTACTGGTTATGAGCTTGTTGGTTCTGCCTTCATTTCATGTTTGCCTAATGGCAGTTGGAGCAGCTCAGAAGTAACATCTCGATGCAGACGTAAGCTATTAATCATTTATTGTCATTTATTATTGTGACACTGCTGTTGATACTAAAGAATGTTATAGTTTCCATTTCTTATTTGTATCTAACGAAAACAGTTACTCTAAATTTATTACTATAGTTTCAACAATTTATTTGTGGTTTTGTAATTATAATTCCTCATGTAGCCGTTGATTGTGGAAGCCCAGAAGATGAAAGCTTTTTCTTATTCAATGATGAAATCAATGTCACAATCACATCAACTGAATTTGGAGGAATAGCCACTTACAGATGTCTTGAAGAAGGAATGGTCATTGATGGAAATGATCGAAGAGTGTGTGGAGCTGATGGTAACTGGACTGGAACGACACCAACAAACTGCACTTGTGAGTTGAAACAATTATGAGGTCACTATAGTTCAATAAATGAATTTCCTCCATACTTTAATTACAGTTGTTGACTGTGGCATTCCTGAGCTACCTTCCTTTGGCTTCGGTGGCGTTGTCAGGGATTTTAATGAAACCATATTCAACAGTACCGTGACGTACAGCTGTGATGATGATGACTTGACTCCAGTGGGTGAGCCAGTAAGAGTTTGTCAGGCCAATGGCCAGTGGAGTGGAGAACCCCTCTATTGCAGAAGTAAGCAAAATTGTTACCATAACAAACCATTATTGGATTGTAATGCTTAGGACGAACCAATTTATTTGTCATTGGATTGAGTATTGGGGTTACCATTGGAGGGATTTTACTTTTACTGTTGCTACTGTTACTGCTTTTAATTTGTTTGTACTGCTGCTGTGCTGGCAAAAAAGGAAACACAACACCTAAAGAAAAGAAGGATAGGTTTGGATCACGAGACATTCTTGTTTGTACGTTACATACTTGCATCTGATAGTAATCATTAATGATCATTTTCTTTATAGCAAATGAAAACTTGTATCGAAACCCTGCAGTTGAATTACCTCAGAAAAATGGACATGCATATGATGGTTAGTAATACTTAATACAGTATGCATGAGCACAATTATTATTTCAATTCTTACAGAGCCTGAAGTTGTAGTTATGAAAGAAACGACTGTTGAATCTACTCCACCACCAGTATTGCCTCCTAAACCTGTAACACCACCTCCACCGGCTGTCGTCGAAAGACCAGCCCCACTGCTACAGGCTGAAGCACCACCTTCAAAGAAACAAGGTACACACATATAATATCTAAACAAGCATTGTATTACCTTTTGTTCCTGTATATACAGAATCAAACAATGTAACTATTCCAAGAGTAATCCCTCAAGGTAAGGAAATTTCATTAAAATAATTTTACATTATAACAATTTTTCATTCCTTTATTTATAGTTGGGAGCCAAGAAGGTATGAAAATTCGCCTGTCAAAATTGTTAGAATTAATGAATAATAATAATAATTCTTTTTGTAGAAACAATTGATTTTGGTCCAGATGACCCGTTTGAAGGTGTCGATGATAAAGACATTGATTCCGTGCACAATTTCCGCTTGCATTATCTTGGGAATGATGACAATCAGAGCATCTCCAGTGATAAAAAATATTACGCTATTTAACAGTCAACACAAACATTAATTGTTTTAATTAGTTATCAATATATATATTCGTATTAATTCATAATAAAGTGTTATTGTGTTGTAATAAAGTGTTATTGTGTTGTAATAAAGTGTTATTGTGTTGTCTATAAGAAAATAAGTTTGTTGGCATATTACGTTTACTTGGAATTGAACTATGGTTGCTATGAAGGAAGAACTGTAGGCATAATATCAGCCCCAGTTTCTCTTCTCTCATTTGTCTTGACACTGTGCTTATAGTCTAATTCTGCCAATGCTCTACACGGATGTACAATGACATTGAAAGAAATTCCCTATGAATATGATAGAGTTTAAGATTAAACTAGCAGGGATATGATGATTGTGCTCACTCTTCCAGCAGCAGCTCGAACAAAGCCTTCATTTGCTGTTAATGTAATAGCCTGCAAGCTGTCACCAGTACCGAATATAATCTACATCATGCTAATAATTAATATTAAGCAAACAAAGCAAACCTTGGCTCGTTCTTTGATTCTTCCACTGTTATGGAGATTTCGAGCTCTCTCTGAGGGTTGATCAGGGACAACATTAATCCTTGATAACAATTCCCTATTTTGATGATACGGTTTGAGCTCTAAACAGAAACAAGGCTAAAGGCTCACTTTGCTCTTTCTTTCTCACTCGGGCCAGCCACAACAGATAAAATTGATTTAAAATCATCTATTGCTGTTTTACAAGCCAATAAAGATTTACCTAATTTAGTCAAACAAGGGGAAACAGTGATATGCAATAGTGTGATGTGTAATAATTATTTTAAAACAAGTACGGTTTCTACAAAGGAAAAATCAGTGTCATTTAGCCAAAAATTGCTCCGAGAGATTTCTCCATTTCTATAATTTTCTGATTATGTATACATGTTCTTAAGTTGTGTTTCAAATTTCAGCTAATTCTGATCAAGTTTGGATTCTTTACAAGCTTTTAAAGTTGCTCAAAAACCAGGCCAAAGTCCCTGTACTATAGTACATGGTCTCAGGCTAAATTTCGTCAAAATTGAAAAGGAGAGAATTCCACAATTTTATAAATTTTTCTGATGCATATACATGTTGTTAAGTTGTGTTTCAAATTTCAGCTGATTCCGATCAAATTTGAATTTTTTACAAACTTTTTAAGTTGCTCAAAAATTGAGCCAAAGTCCTTGTACCAGGCATGGGGTCAAGCACTTGGTGCTTGTACTTAAGTACAAATAAGCACAGCTTTCTAAGTACTTAATGCTGCTTACAAGTACCTTTTCAATATAATCTATGTGCTTTGTACTCGTACTTAATTACTTTTACAAATTTACAAAAGTGCTTTTAAGCACAGCAAAAACTACACACGAATAATGTACATGTACATGTACATGTACATGTACATGTACATCTACATGGTACATCTACATGTACATCTATATGTCGATGTCATGTACATGTACCACTACATGTACATGTACATTGAGACACACATAAGTACATGTATATTCTGTATTTTTATTATTTAAATAAATCTTACCACACATGTAAAAAACATGTACATGTACATGTAGTATACAAGTTTCGTAGCACATTGTGTGATTGTGTTTTAGCTTGAAGAATGGTAATGGCATTACTATTAGTGGTATCACTCCAAAGCTCTCTGCTGTTTCCATTTATTATGAACAATTAACAGAGTTAGTGTTTATTAGATGCAATAGTAAATTAACTATAATTGTAATTTTACTTTATTTTTACACGTAGTGAATATCTAGTACTTATTAATGTAATTAAGCACTCTGAAAAATGTTTGTTCTTGTACTTAAGCACTTACATGTATGCTAAAGCTATAGATTGTGCTTGTGCTGGTGCTTCTAACACATTTAAGTGCTTGTATTTGTGTTTAAGCACATTTCTTAGTGCTTGACCCCATGTCTGCCCTGTACTACAGTACATGGTCTCGGGCCAAATTTTGTCAAGATTGAAAAAGAGAGAATTCCACAATTTTATAATTTTTTCTGATACGTATACATGTTCTTAAGTTGTGTTTCAAATTTCAGCTGATTCCGATCAAATTTGGATTTTTTACAAACTTTTTAAGTTGCTCAAAAATTGGGCCAAAGTCCCTGTACTATTAGTAACGCGGTAGCGTTACTAAGTAGGATTCACCCCCAAACAAAATGGCTGCCACGACTTTTGCAGCCTTGCTATACCGGGAAAACGAGCTCCTATGCTTACCAGACTTTATAGAGGACCTTATCTTGACCAGAGGACTCCAATGGTACCCATAGCGTGGCTCTAGACCTTTTCTGGGAGAAAAATCAAAAATCTGCAAACCGGCCGTTTTGTTCAGCCACCTTTTTTCATCTTCATCATCATCATCAAGTTAGTCCTGTCAATCCAGTTGTCGGTCGATATATCGATTATGCCTGGTGATAGAAGGTTAATTCTTACACCATTCTACTCCCACAGGGTATGCGCAGGTCCTTGTTCCCTAGAATCATTCTCCAAGAAAGGAAAAAGTGATACTGAGTCTGTGACTGTTGGATCGCACCAGCTTACCTCATGCCACCATTTTGTTAATAATTAAATAAAGAAGCATGTGCTCCAAAAATTTGGGCGTGGTCGCGCATGCTCAGATCTCAGAACTGGGAACAGCAAGTAATCTTTTACGTAGCTAGGCTAGCTATGCTTGGAATCAAATTGCAATACTTAGTGGAGGTTTCCAGCTAAGAGAAGGTATTAATCTTGCATATATCAAGTGTGTAATGAATTATTTTATTTCAAAAACACAAAACAATTAATTAATGTTTATAATACTAGTGATAATATATTAATATGAACTTGAAAGAAGGAAGACCTGCAGGAATAGCTACAGGATTGCTGGGAAGATAGAGCTTCTTGAACAAGGATTCACATCAAGACTATAATATTTATTTCACTTGTCATCAGTATAGTAGATATTCCTTCACCATATCTATTCAACTCAATCAGTGCTGTCCCTCATAAATGCTGTAAAATCATAACAATGACAACAATAATAAAGAAACTTATTGTTTGTGTAAAATCAAAAAGTATCACAATTGTAACTGAAAAAATATTATAAATAGTATAAAAAAATTAACACAAACAAGAACATAAAAAATAAAAAAAAAAAAAAACAAGATTGAGTAGGATTCCGAATGACCAACGAAAATACGAAATGAAAATCCTACTCTCGTGACACAAATTCTACTTTACATTGTAAGGTGATCCATAACTTTTAGTACAATGTAGAGTAGAATTTGCGTCACGAGAGTAGGATTTTCATTTTGTATTTTCGTTGGTCGTTCTGACGGAATCCTACTCAATCTTGTTTTTTTTTTAAATTTTTTATGTTCTAGTACATGGTCTCGGGCCAAATTTTGTCAAAATTGAAAAAGAGAGAATTTCACAATTTTATAATTTTTTCTGATGCATATACATGTTCTTAAGTTGTGTTTCAAATTTCAGCTGATTCCGATCAAGTTTGGACTTTTTACAAATTTTTCAAGTTACTCTGAGTCTGAAGTAACATATGGGCTATTATTAAAAAAACCCACTACCTTCTGTAGCTTTTTGTAGCATAGGCCACAAAGGATCTTTCCTTTCCTGTCTTGCCTGCTCAGCCAAAACACTGTCCTTTGAAATTAAGAAACGCAATGAAAAGAATGCCAAAACGACACTATATACTTAC